TGAGATAACAATGGAAAAACAATTTCAGAGTAAGTGTAAGGAGACTATAACCATGCAGTTAGAAGGCCACTGGAATGTGAGATTATAATAGCTCAACATTAAAATGCTGAAAAGGATATGGCCATTTGCTTTTTTTTTTTTTTTTTTTTTTTTTAAACTGGGAATAGCCTAGACAACATTTATACTCATGAATAGTAAAGTCATAGAATGTATTTTAGGAAGGAGGGAAGCTTAGTACTAGTATATCCAGCTCTTATCCCCTATTCTGAAGTGTATTCCCATTTTTTTCCCATTTCTTGAGGTTAAGTTGGAGGCAGTTTTTGTTCGACCTTATCACTCTCCTTCAACCATACCACTTTGAAGCTCTGTTGCAAGTTCAAAAACATTTTCTTTCTGACTCACATCTAGCCCTATGACTTGGCTGCTTTAGCCACCCATGGGATATAATTTGAGTTCAACTAGGATGATTTTCTACTGCTTATTTTATCTCCCTGGCTTCCAGTTATCGCTGGACCTCAGCTGAAATCTTACCATTAGAAATGTATTTCTTTGAGTCTAAAATGATTTAAAAATTTTTTTTGATAGTATATAATAAATTAAAATTTAACAAGTACTTATCAATGTATAAAATATAAGTACTGGTTAGAGGAGTAACATATTAAACTTGAACAGTCTAAGAAGCACAGACTTTGTCATCAGACAGACCTGAGTTCATATTTCAGCTCTTCTACTTAGCTATGTATAAATATGGGCAGGTCCTTACTTTTCTAAGTCTTGAGTTCCTCATCCGCGAAATGGGGTTAATACTACCACTGAATTCTTAGGGTAATTGTAATATGAAATAGATACCATGTGTGAATGCCTTGCACAGTGTCCAGCCAATATGAGGGGCTTGATAAATATTCTCTCCTTACAAATATAGAAAGGGATAAGGGATTGGGTCAAGATGCTAGAGAGTGGAGTAAAGGAGAGAGAACAGAGCATAGTCACAATGGCAATGTGATTAGGGATAAGGTTTCTCCCTAAACTGGACCTATTTACAGTTTATTTTTGAGCCACTCCAATTAAATTCTAATTAAGCAGCCTCTTAGTCTTGATTATCTAAGGTATGCTTGAGTTTTCTTATCTCTTCCTGTTCTTCTGCATCTTTGGATTATTGTGTTTGTCCACAAGTACTGCCACATTTAGTACTGCTCTATCTATGATAGTGGGACATTCTGTCCTTGGGAGATGACTTGTGGCCACTGTCTGACCTGTTCCTCACTGAGCCTCTTTCCTTTAGGCTTCTATCATGCATGGTGCTACCTTAAATAATCTCATCTTGGATCACAACCTGGGGTGGTGATTTCCCAGCTCCTGAGGTTACACAAAAGTGTGTAAACAGGAATTTTATTACACCACTGAACCAGTTTTAAATCTATCCATCAATCATACTCAAAGGACCAATCCACTAATAAGATCAAACACAGTTTTGTGAGTGTAGAATGCAACATTTTCTCCCCAGATATTTTCTTCTGGTAAGAGTCTTGATTTTAGCTGTAGTATTAGTTTTTGTCTAAAGCCCTCATAGCATTATCAAGCATTCTCATGAAGGAGTTACCTGACTCTAAGAATATATTATTGTATTACTCCGGTTTAGTGACCCCATTCACCATATGATTGGTTAATTTCCTTAAGTCTTTCTATAGGGATAAGTCACCAAAGAAATAACTCACTCAGAGTGCAAGACCCCTGTTGAACATATTTTATGGCCCTAGGCACTAGCAGTGCCAGTTATTGAAGGTGATTCATAAATGATTTTTGGAGTAAACTTCATGTAGACTACAAACCAATCCAAATTATTTAAGGCAGTATAATCTGGGTGATGTGGAATGCAATACTATAACACAACTACTTTGCTGTTAGCCCATAATGAGCACCAACTATGAGAAAGATGTGAAGATAATCATTTTCTCACATGGAGATAAGATTGGGGAAGAAATATATTTGTTGCGTGTCTCCTGTATGCTAGACTTCGTATGCCTTATTTTATTCACTTACTCTTAAAAACAACCCCAAGAGTTGTTTTGTCATTTTGTCATAAATATGCATTATCATCCATATTTTATAAAGAATGAAAACCAAGAGAGGTTGAGAGACCTGTCTGAGGTGATACACATGGAGTGTTGAAGCTAGGATTTGAACATGACTGTCTGGTTACAAATCCTCTGCTATTTACACTCTATCACATTGCTGCCCCTTGTGTGAATTCAATTACAATCCACTAGAGGAAAAAATAAAAGAACATAAAGGACTGGATGGCAAAGTAATCTGTGATAAGTGCCATGTGAGTGGAATGAAAAGTACCAAAGGGTTTGAAGGAGGAAAAGATTATTTCTGGGTTCTGTCTTCACTGTGGCATTTATCTTTTTTTTTTCATCTGCTCTTTGGGGATGTTGTTTTCCTTCACTGGTGTGCTCTTCTCCGTCTACCAAGCAATGGTCAACACTGACTTCTTAAACTGCCTAAGCCAGTAATTATTGCCTAAAATAAAAAACCGAGTCCCTAGACAGCTTGTTGTGTTCCTCTATTCTCATTTTTCCCTAGAAGTGTTTCCCCTGGATGACTCTTCTATCTCCACAATGTGTTAAAAGTATACATGTACCCTGGACCTTAAAGTATAATAATAAAAGAAAAAGAAAAAGAAAAAGAAAAAAGTATACTTACTCTTTAAGGCCCAAGTCAAATGCACTTTCTGGGAACTCTTCCCCCAGCAGAATTAGCGACAATTTCTCTCTTGTCTCTCAGCACACTGGCTATACAACTATTTGATACTTGTTACCTATTGTTTAGCATGGTGTAGTCATGCTAAGCATCAGGTCAAGTTATGTTTTCTTTTGGGATTTGGACATTTACTGGCACATTTGGACGTTTAGTGAGGTGGACCTGATAGAAGTCAATCTAGCTGAGTGATCGAGAAGTGTCTTTTGAGGGCAGGGATGATATTAGGTAACAAGAGAATCCGAAACACAACTTTTGTCTAAAAACCATCATCCTTATGGTAAGAAGGTGGAGTTTCTTTGAAGAGTTCAGCTTTCCTTCTGCCAACATGCAGTTGTGTCTGGGGCAAAAGGTGGTGCGGTGTGAAACAGGATATGACTAAAACATCTGAAAACTATTTTCATATAAACTATGAGATTTTGGGGGCAAGAAAATAGCATTGCTAGAAACTGACAGAGTTAACATTGTATGAACATGGCATCATTCTTATGGCATAATACGGCAAGTGCATTGGGCCTGTGGAGGTCACAGCCTGGTTTTAGGTCATCACAGACTTCAGCACAGTATCTGTACCTGACGTCTGTAGACTTCTGGGGAGGGGTTAGGCTCCATGGCAAAAGGTCTGCAGTTCCATAAGCACATGATATGTTGTCAATGGGCAAAACAGTGTTTCCTGAATGAATGCACTACTTCCTTTCAAATATACGTAGAGATTCTTATGATGGATAAATATGTTTATTGAAAGGATTACTGAATTTACTGTCATATGTGTCATTAAGTATTTTTTCAGTTAACAGACACTAAAACGTACCTATTTTTGTACAAATGTGGTGAATATGAAACCTTTTAAGGTTAAAAAGGTGTTTCCATACTCAGAGAGGATTATTGGTGAGGGGTGGAGTTAGGGACATCTGGTGGTGGCAGCTCCTACTGATCAGCTCCATGAGTACTAGCTCTTCTTTACCATCTATTACACAAACATTGGTGACTGGCATTTAGTAAGTCAATTTGGAATGAATGAATAAGAGAATGAATTAACAGTTTTTGGGTTGAGAAATGTCTACCCCTTCTACTATTGCATTCTGACCCATTACATAGAATTCCATGTATAGGCCAGTCCCCATGAAAGCAAGAAAAAAGTTTTTTAAAAAAAAAGAAAGAAAAAGAAAAAGTTTACACTTTTCATCCAGTTAGTACACAAATATTGTGATAATTTATATACCAATAGTACAGTCATGTGGACCAAGATCAGCCCCTATATTGGCATGTGAACTTATTTCTACCCAGTGAGTCAGTTAAGATGGGAATAATAATTTAATTTAGTGTACTTCACTTGTGACTGTCACAATAAACCCTGATGTATGTATATTAGTTGCAAGAGAAAGATAATGCATGTCATTTGACCTTTCTTTCACCAGCTTTAAAATGTGGTTTGTAAAAGGTTTTAATTGACAATGGAAGAACTCTGGTGAAATTTTCAAAAGGAGTAAATCATGTTCTCGGGATAATTTCAATTAAACCATTTTCTATGAAGATGTGTCAGCTTTGGGTATGTCATGAGCCAGGTCTCTTCATATGCTTTCACACATAGGCAAAGATTTGCTGCAAACTCTGTGAGTAGGATAAGTCTAGGCAGGTTTTTTTCATTTCCCTTCTTCTTTACTTGTGGGACTGTCAACTCTCAGAAAATCTAGTGAGGCCCTAATTTGTAAACATTCAATGTATCCTCATATTATTGAAGCAATCATGGGAGGGGATATTAAGAGGAAGTAGAGTCATGAAATTCAAAGGGAATTCCACATCGTTCAAGATGAAAGGGAGCTTAGAGTTCGTCATAGTACAATCTGTTCATTTTACTGATACAGCCCAAAATGTGAAGTGACTCGTACAACATTACGTTTCTAGTTAGTTGTAGAGTTGAACCACCAAGACTTTTCCTGTTTCAAAATCTCTACTTGCTCTGGTCCCCATTAACAAAATTTTATGTGGATTTTGACTCTGATATCACGTCTTCCAGCACTGGATGACTTAATAACTCTCTGTGCCACTGTTCTCCATTTGCCACTCTTTAGAGCCTTTTTCTACCTGTGACAGGAAGCTGACCTTTAAGGAAAGCAACAGAAAGCTCCATTGCCTTCTGGCTTCTGGTTGAGTTTGACCAGCGGGAGACTTGGCAGGGTACTCTCAGAGGAGAGAGAGATCAATGGATTTATGACCCTCCAGGCCTGGACTGCAAGTCACTGGTGGCTGTGTTTGATGCTGAAAACCAGAGTTCTTGTTGGAAGATCCTTTCCTTTAGCTATAGTTTTTTCTTTGTGTTCTAGTAACTGCTCCTTTCCCTCTCTACTGAGGCCTACGGGTAGTAGTGACTTTCCACTTTTACTAGTTCTAAGGTGTTTTGCTTTCCCTTACTGGTTTACCTTAATACTGTCCACACATTTTACAAAGTCCCTTTATTAAACTCTCATCAGTTACCTCATTGAGTATAAAATCTGTTTCCTGCTCGAACACCAATTGATATACTCCATCCTCTGTCACCTTATTTTTTTTCCTTCAGCACAAATTACAAGCTATGCTCAGCTTTAATAAATGTGTTTACTTATTTATTACCCGGCTTTCCTGACCAGAATGTGTTTCCATGGCTTAGCACAGTGCCTGACACATGGTAGATACTCAGTACATGTTTGTTCACTGAATGGTTCCAGACATAAAAACTTCTAGTTCAAAATTCTTTCTACACATCACAATGAGAATGACTCTGTAGAACTTTTAAGGGATGAATCTGCCTAAAGGGAAATTTTAACTCATTTCAACGTCAAATATAAACTGTATAGGCTTTTATGGGTTAGTAGTTGCTATTTAATATATTGTTTCTATGGTAAAATGTACTCCAGATCAACCCATTTTTTCCCATTAGATTATAGTTTCATGAAGGCAGGAAACAGATGTATCTTCTCCATGGTTGTATGCTGAAAGCTTTGCACACTGCCCGGCACAGAGGTAAGTTCTTCTTTGTGCTGAAGACCAAGCTAAATACTAGTGACTTGGAGATGTATGAGGCAGGATCTCTCTCTTTGAGAGGCTCATAGTCTTACTGAAGATATTGACAACAAACAAGAATTGCAACGTAAGCAATAGGTGATACAGTGGAGGTCACGGGACAGTGTTTTAGCCTTACAGAGAAAGGAGAGAAGCCAGGGAACTCTTGACAGACGATCTGGGTGAAGGGAGTGTGGGGTGGTCTTCCAGGACTTTCCTTTTCTGAAACAGCTTATTCAGGGGTGTAAGTTCAAAACTGACAGATTCTAAAATAAAATTTTTATCCCCAGTCCATTTAGAGCTGAGTATTTCATGTAAAACAGAACTTTCCTACTTCTTGACATTGGCTTTCTATTTTCCTTCTTTTATCCTTTTATTCAGGAAAAAAAGTAAAAGCAGTAAAAATGACTTTTGAATCTGGATTTTCTGAGTGTTGATCATGTCAAAAGAGAGCAAAATCTGTTCAAAAGATGATAAACTGATTATCCAAGTGTACTCTTCTAAAGCATCATGAAACTTAGCTGAAATTGACTGCAAGAAAAAAAGGAAAGAAAAACTTGTTATATTCCCCACCAGAGGGAGACAATTTTTTTCCTTTTGACTTTCAAAACCTAAATTCTGATTAATGCAGATTTGAAGAGTACAATACAAGGTTTACCGGGGCTGATTAATACCCAGGGGGAAAAAACAAACTTACAGTCTAATTTGTTTACTTTTGTCTTTTAATATCAAATTATTTTCAAGATCTAAATTCTGTTCTGCCAGCACAGTAAATGCCACTTAACATGCATGGAACTTTAAGAGCTACTTGTTATTTCAGTGTCGACTTTATCTCTAATTATATTAGTATGGATTCAGATAGGACACTGATAACATAACAACATGGAATAATTGAGCATTAATTATTTTATATAGTAAGACATTTACAAATCAACCCTAAACTAAGAGAGACAAGGGGCATGGTGGTGGTGGAGGAGAAAGTGATAACAGTGTCTCTTTCTATTGGCAAGACTGTAGATACTGGAATAAGCTGAAACCAAGTCAGCTAATTTTCAATATGCCACAACTGTACAAAATTTAAGAAAGAAATTAGCTTACAGTAGTTGCTAATTTAGGAAAAATAGTACATGAGCAATAGTTCCTTTCTATGACATATCTGTACTTAGTATAATTAAACATTTTATCAAAAATATAGAAAAATGTCTAGAGATTTATAGTGTAAGACCTACTGTACTTTAAAAAAAGTCCAATTTCATGCCCAATTTAATAGATACAGTGTTAGATCTACATGTCCAGTGTAATTACTTGGACATTTCATTCTTCTCTATGGTTCTTTTTAGAAACCAGTTCAGATCTGACCTTGTGTAAATGCTTTTTAAATTACTCTGAATCATTTTACAAATCCAATTAGTGCACAGTCAAATCGCCTCAGCTCACCTCATTTGACACAGGGTGCTGCTGAAGTAGCTTTACTGCTTATTATGATTCCTGTTTACTTATTCTTTGTCATTTTCAGAATATTTACAACAAAAATATGGAATAATTCTCAGAAGCTCACATTTAAACATGGGATAATGTGGAGGCATCAGGTAAAATATTTGTCTGGTTAGGAGCATGAGTTTCTTGTCATAATTCAGTGGCGGTAAATGGATGCTTTGGAAAAGCATAAAGTGTCACTTAAGTTTCACTTGCCTGAGGTATCATTTAATCAGCAAGCGCAGTTAATAATTTTGCTTTTCTATTTGTCAAGATCTCAATATTTTTTCAATATGAAGTCTGCTCCAGTGTACTTTACATGACACTTTATAATTAGTGGTACTTGAGAATTTGGCAGTTTAAAAAATTCATACAACATTCTTAGTTACAATTTATAAATGATTTTAAAGTATAATTAACATTCATCTTTACAAGTTATATGCAAACAAATATGCAAATTTAGAAATAAATATGCAAACATATAAAATGTTTTTGAATTAAGTAGTCCTTAACATTTTTAATGAAATCAATATTTTATTCATATTTTGCACACAATTTTGACTACTTACTGATTTGGGGGGGTCTACAGCATATATGCTTTTGCATATTGTAACCTCTACCAGCAACAGGAAGGAAATGAGAACGAAATTTTTTTTTCTTTTTTGGGATGAAAACCAAGGCTAATTTAGTAGACAAATCCAGTAGGTGCTGTTGAGTGGATTATTGATGCAATTAAAATGGTCTTTTACTCCTTGAACTCTTAACCTTAGATGACACAAAACTCTTGTGGATCTCAAGAAGACAATGCGGAGGGCATCAACAAGCTGTCCCCTACTTTCTTGTGTGGCTATAAAGGCCAACACATTGAGTTGGTAGCTGTGGATTTTTAACGTATTACAGTCTGAAAGCAGAAGAAAGCAGGGTTCAGTATAAAATGAACAAATAATTATTGGGAAAATGCACCTTAGATGGAGAAGTTGCTATGCAAGAGTACAGATTCAAAGTTTAGTTATTATGATTTTAAAAACGATCTCTTCTAAAAAGTTAACTGATTCAAGATCTTAGTTCGCTCATTCAACAAACGCTCATCTTTTTAGGCTCGGTTTCCATTCTTCCTCTGCAAGGAAGATTTCTCACTACCAGAGTCCTCTGTCTCTGAAATAATGTTGCGTTATAAGTTAACCAGGCAATGATTTTTATGTGGCCACCATGGGCAAGGAATACATTCATTGCTAGCAGGGGTACAAAGAAGTATCAGAAATAATTAACTAGCATCACACAGTTTAGCTCTAAAATGTTCTCCAATTTTTACAGGTATGCATGCTTTATTATCATTTTCAAATGACAAAATTCTTGAGGGAAAAACTTCATTTATACAAGGGATAATGAGAAGAATTTGTTTTTTGAGTGGCATCTCTGATGAATTAGTAGTTGCTCACTGGTATGCTCTGTAAAGAATGATTCTGAGGCTGTGGCATTAGCAGTACCAGCATTGCCATGTTTTTGTTATTCCTGCTCAACTTACCATCTTTTTAAAAGAAATAGTATTTTTTTTTTTTTTTTTTTTTTTAACTAGAGAATGAGGGCTTCGTGATCCATTTGATTTCCCCTTTGTAACTGCCAGAAATTCAGCAGGGAGTTTTGATATAAATTTCTTCTTCTCTTTTATTGCTTGACTTTTTTTCTTTTATTTTGTATGTCATGTTACTGTACTATAGTTTGTTTTTGACAGCTGGTTGCTTTAAGTCTTTTTGAAAGAAACAAATCATTGCATATACTTACTTCCTCCTATAAGTTTTATGGTGCCTAGCATAGGTCCAGGACCCTAAGGAGTCATAGAATAAATGCACTTTGCATGGAGAACACTGAACTTGATGCTATGGAGGTCCCATATGGTAGGTGCACAACGATGCATGAATGAGTAGGTGAATGAATGAATGAGTTCGGAGGGAATTTAAACCATGAGAAAAATCATGATGGTTTGTGACTTATGAAGGAAAGCATCTGTCGAATCTTGGCTGATGCCTTAAAAAAGGCGTAGAATGATGATTGGACGAGGAGGAAATGGCTTAGAGGAAAATGGAGGTTTAGCAAGAAGAATTTAAAAGGACAGGAGCCATCATGTAATAATATTTGACTCCTCTCCATGGGCCTATTTGCTTGTGTGGAATGTAAAATTTCAGGGAACAGGAATTTTAAAACATTAATTTGGAACACATTAGTGTGCCCTTCCACAGAGTATGCCAGAGTGTTTTTAGGTTGTTTGAAGATGAAGATGATCCTCTTACCTACATTATTTCAAGTTCAAAAATTAAAAATTATAGGGCATGGTAATTTCAACTTGTAGATTTAGGGTAAAATAATTCATTTAGATGCATCACAAATTAATCTTCCCTCATAGAATCGGAACAAGCAATTGAAATTCTGTTTTGTGGCAAGCTGCTCCGTAATGTCTGTGGGGACTGGTTTTGTTTATTTGCTGCTATATGATAGTCTTAGGTAAACAACATACAGCTATATCTATGTGCATCTGGGTAGGCTTAAACATTTTTATTATGCAACTTAAAAATGAAAAAGCCAAATCTGCTGCACTTAACGAAACAGCTAAATCCCATTCAGTGTAAAACAAACCCCTACCACCTTCTTGTCAAGTAACCTTGGCCTTTAAAGACCATCCCCACACAATCAGTCACTTCCATATGCCTTTCATTCTTCCCATAATCTAGGATTTTTTTCCCTCAACGTTTTGTTTCTCTGGGCTGAATTTCATCTCAGTTGATTGCCCAATTCACTTTTCATTCACTCATAATTGTTTTTTGAATTGTCTTAAATTCTCAAATGGATTATGACAATTTGAAAATTAACAATGGCGCCTTAATTGCATGGGGCTGTGTGATCCACAAAACCCTGTTGGCTGATGTTTTTACCCCCACCTGTAATTTTTTTTTTTTAAACCAAATGTGAAAAGGTAGAAACACATATAAGCATAAAACACACGTGGTTGTGATTTACAAAAATTGTTGACTTTCCAGTATTTGGAAATTAACCACGGACACTTGCAAAACCATTTTACAAAAGAAATTATTTTAAAAATTAGATTGGATTTTCTTTCTCTCAAAGTTAGCTTCTTTTGTGAAAGCAGCGATATATGCAAGCAGGGCAACGTTTTCTAGATGTGTATGGAAATTAAGATTCAGGAAATATAATCATTATTCTTTAATTATGTAACTTTGGCTGGGCTCTCAATGCAGCTTGGCAATCCTCTCACTTGTCCCCAAAGGACTTCCTCTCGAGTTCCTCTTGAGGCAGCTGTTTGAAACCTTTAAACTCATGCCATTCTTCTCATGCCCCTCACTCTCAGCCTTTACCCTTACTTCATAATTTACAAAGACTATAGCAGCTCCAAGCTGTCTCCTTGGACTCCCTTCTCTTCCACCCACAGACTCGCCTACAGAAGCACACATCTTTTTTTTTTTTCTTTGAGATGGAGTTTTGCTCTTGTTGCCCAGGCTGGAGTACAATGGCGCGATCTCAGCTCCACCTCCCTGGTTCCAGCGATTCTCCTGCCTCAGCCTCCGGAGTAGCTGGGATTATAGGCATGCGCCACCACGCCCAGCTAATTTTTGTATTTTTAGTAGAGATGGGGTTTCACCATGTTGGCCAGGCTTGTCTTGAACACCTGACCTCAAGTGATCTGCCAGCCTCGGCCTCCCGAAGTGCTGGGATGATAGGTGTGAGCCACCACGCCTGGCCAAGAAGCACACATCTTTTAATATTTCTTCTTCAGTCTTAAAGTAAGAGGGTTTTTCTTTCATCCCACTATTAACTTTTTGGGTTCATTGGATTCTATCTCCTGTGACCTCCTCCCTAGATGTACATTTTTTTTCTTTCTTTTGTCTCTGAATCCCTCTCTTCAGCCTGCAGACATGATCAAATCTAGTCTTCCCCATCTCCTATTGCTTCAACCTCCTCCCAACTCTTATCTTATCTACCTTGGCCTTTTGTGTGCAGCCAGCCTTCTTTTGCTTACCATCCTCCTCCCCACTCACCATGCATTGGGAGTTAGTTAAAGAAGGCCACACCTATTCCCGGTAATCACCTAGGAGCTCATGTCCTGTCCTTTTCTTTTCTCTCCTAGCTCATAATCTTTGTTCTCTATTGCTTGGTTTTACACCCTGTCTTCAGAGAGCTGTTTCTGGATACTCAATTTTTGGTTTTATGGTTTCCTCGATTGTAACTTTCATATACTCCTCATTTAAACTATGTCTCAACCTTAGTTTTTGGGCCAAAGTTTGGCCCTTTCTGCCAGGAAATGGGATTTTAGACATTTTTCTGAACTATGAAGCCTTTTAAAGTTGTGCTTTGGAGTACTCTTTCTGTTCTCTACAAAAGCACTGTCCTCGTTTCCTCAGCTCCCACTCACTTCTTATCCAATTGAAGCTGGTCTTGCTAAGATGACTAATAAGTCCTCTTTGACCCCCACAAGCAAGATGACTTCCTAATGCTAGATCCAACAGCCCACTGGCCAACACTAGGCCAAGTGGCCCTTTTCCAATTTTCAATATTGTCTCATCTTTTAACACTATCAACTACTTCTGACTTTTTGATATTTTCCAACTGTTGGCTTCCAGCACATCTATCAGTATGCATAATTTTACTGATTATCTACTACTCCAAGTCTTGAGATACAAAGGGGAATGGAACATGGTCTCTGCCCCCACAGATATTACAATGTAGGGTAGAAGAAAGACAAGTAAATAGGCAAATACAATTCATGATGTAAAGTCTACACACGGAAAACACTCACTCCTATGCTTGTGGGGGTCAAAGAGGACTTATTTTTAGACAGAAGCTTGAGAGATGATTAGGAAATATCTAGGTCATGTGGGACCAAGGGTGAGAGTTCCAGGAAGAAGGAGAAATTCTGCCAAAATTCAAAGGAGAGAGGACAGGAATGTTCAGATAACTCCAAGGAGTTCAGTGTGATTGGAGCACGGCGGTTAGGGTGTGTATTGTAAGAAATGGGCCTGGACAGGAGGCAGGGACCAGGTCATGGGAGGCCACATGAGCCATTTTTAAAGAGTTTGGAAATTGTATAAAGGCAATGAGAAACTACTGAAAAATGTTAATATTATACAGAGGAGTAACATCATCACAATCACATTCTGGAAATATCACTCTGGTTGCTGCGCTAATGAATTTGGTGATGGTAAGAATGGTGGCAGGAAGTTGGGTTAAAACGTTGTGGCAGAAATCTAGGCAAGATGGCCTTGGTCTGATCCCGTAGAGTGGTAATATGGATATATGGAGGTAAAAATAAATGGTGGGTTTTAGTGATATCAAAGAACAATAATGGAAAAGACTTGGTAATGGATTGAGCTATCCCTTTCAATTATCTTCAGTTCCTTTCTATCCCATTGTGTCACACTTATCCATAAAAATGATAGCATTTCTCGCATTTTATGTTATTTTTCTGTTATAGTATAGGGTCTATAACTAGGACTCTATTTGATTAATCTCTATCTCTATTGCTCAGCTTGATGCTTTGTGGATAACAGATAAACAATCAAGGCTGGTTGACTGAGTGACTCAACTTCCCTGGGTAATGTTTGATATTAATTTGTAGTGTATACCTCTGTCAAATTATCTTCCACCCCTCTCACCCTTCCATTCATTATAGAACCATAAAGAATGTTTCCCAGTTTGAACCTTAAAAAAAAAAAAGTGCAAGTAAAAATTTATTCTTATGTTTAAGCTCTTTATAAATATTTATTTTTAATAATATGAAGCCAGATACTCTGTCATCCCTTTATTAGCTTTCTATTGCTGCTGTAAAAATTACCACAAACTTAGAGGCTTAATGCAACACAATTTATTATTTCACAGTTTCTACAGGTTAAAAGTCCAGGATAGCTTGACTGCGTTCTATGTTCAGTGTATCACAAACCTGAAATCAAGATATTGGCTGAGCTAGGCTCTTATATGGAAGCTCTGGGAAGGTTCCATTCTAAGGTTGTTTGGCTGTTGGCAAAATTTAGTTCCTTGCAGTTGTAGGATGGAAGTCCCTCTGTCCTTGCTGGCTGTCAATTGGGGGCTGCTGTTAGCTGCTAAAGACCACTCAAATTTCTCTTCACCTGGCCTCCTCCCTCTTCAAACCAGCCATGGCAAGTCTTGTTTTGATTCTCTCAGATTTCACCCTTTGACCTTGCTCTCAGATTTTTAGGACTCATATGATTACATTGGGACCACTGGTATAATCCAGGGTGATCTCCAAATTTTAGAGTCAACTGATTAGCAACCTAAATTACATCTGCAAAGCTCCTTTTGCCATGTGATGTAATATATTTATGGGCATGATATTTTGTCATATTCACAGTCTGGAGACTAGAATGGAACATTTTAGAAACTCTATTTAATACATTCCTATTTTAAATTGGGAAAAGTTATATAATAAATTAGACACCCCTATAATGTCATATTGTAAATTAATCAGTAGTGTTGGCCATGACTTTTTCCAGAAAGTGTCCTATAATCTTATCATATCTATCATTTGTTACATACTGAGTTTTTAGATTTGTTTTTTAACCTTTCCACCCTTCTACCCGAACCTACTATGTTGAATGGGTAAAGGATCAGTTTTCACTAGCCAAGATGCCCAGATAATAATGTCCCAATGATGCAAAATATACGAATATAATTTTGTGACCAGAAACAATTATAGAGACAGATTTTTAGCTCTGAGGAAGGAGAGAGGAGGCAGTGTGAACCTGTTGTAATCATACCAAGCCCTTGTAATTTCTGATCCTGAGGAATGGAGAATCAAAACTTTTCATTTTGGATAATTAAAATTCCTTGATAGCCCCCATATTCAGATATGACTTTTTATTTATTTAATACATATTTAATGAGCATCTGTCAGGTTCTCAGACACTATTCTGTGCACTAGGAATATGATGTTGGATAAGGCATGCCAGGTTCCTGTCTTCTTGGAACTTCTTGTTGCTGTGTACTTTGGCAGACAAAGGAGTAAAATGGCAAAAAGAGGAGAGATGGGGGTGGTGATCTCTTCTCATATGAACCAAATGCTCTTCTCATATGCTCAGAGAGCTTCAGATACCAATTTTTCTCTTTTCCTGAGAGGCAGCTGATATAGTTTGGATGTTTGCCCCTCCATATCTCATGTTGGAATGTGATCCCTAAGGTTGGAGGTGGAGCAGATCATGGGGCAGAGGTTTGAATCATGGGGTGGATCCTTAATGAATGGCTGAAGGCCATCCCTTTGGTAATGAGTGAGTTCATGCAAAAGCCATTTGTTTAAAAGAGCCTGACCCCCTCCTCTCTCTCTCTCTTGCTCTTTCTCTTGCCATATGATATGTCTGCTCCCCTTTCACCTTCTGCCATGATTGTAAGCTTCCTGAGGCCAGAAGCTGAGCAGATGCTCATACCACACCTGTACACCCTAAAGAACCATGAGCCAATTAAACGTCTTTACAAATTGCTCAGCTTCAGGTATTTCTTTATAGCCATGCAAGAATGGCCTAACACAGCAGCCTTGGAGGGCTGAAGGAGAGACTCCACAGGAGAGATGGCCTTGACCAATATGACCTAGCAGGGATGTAGGTCGTAGAGACAGACAGAGTTGGAAAAATATTCTGATTAAACATTAGTGAGTTTTCTTTTTTCAAAAAGTTTAGCATAAGGACAAAAATGCCTAAAGAAAATGTTTCAAGGATGACTTTAAAAATTCAACTGTCAAAGTCCTAGTTTGATGTGTAGATTATTGGGAACATTTGGTGACACAAGAAATAGTTAATGTTCTTTGCTTTTGTATTATCACCTTGTTTGGTGTACTGAGGCCCTGATGAGTTCCCAAAGAATATCAGGATGTGAATACAAATTGCCAATCTTGTAAAATCAGTTTACCAGTCAAATAAAAAAAAATTCAGACTTGTCTTTCTTTCATACAATGCTCAGAACACCAGTGCCATTGAGCTTGTTTGAGAATAAAGATGAGGAAATTGTCAGTCATTAGGTATAGCACTAGCAAATGAAAACAATATTTGAGAGACCATTTATTACCAATTTCAATTCAGCTTCATTTGTGGATACAAACATATTGTGAGTATTTATCCATTTCTTCTTATTTTTTAGAGAAACAAAAACAGAAACGAAGATATCCATGACACCTAATGTTATAAGGAGAAGAAAGCACTTGTAATCACAAGGGTACTGAGAAAAGGTAACAGACAAATTTATATTTGTGGAACCAGGAATCTTTCTGATGACTTTTGGAAAGGGTGGACATACAAATAAAAATCAATCTTTTTCTTGGTAAGGATTTGACCCTGGTTCCATATTAACCCAGGAGTTGATAAGCACAAACCTGGAGTCCAGTTTTTATGCAAATGTAACAACTCTGCTTATACCTTGAATTACTTGTATGAAGTGGGGAAAATTTTTTACTCTCTCTGAACCTGTAATTTTAAAAAATCTGTATGACTTGGATAATAAACCCACTTCCTAGAATTTTTATGAATATGAGATGATGTGTGAACTATCTAGTACGCTATTGAGCATATGGTTTGTGTTTAATCTGTGGAAGCTAGTATTGCTATTATTGTTGTTTTTATAAACAATAGCACTTCTATCTACATAATTCTCAAACTTTCCCCCTGAAGCTCAAGATGCTTTAGTACATTAATTATTGTTAACTTCAATGCACAGATTGAGAAACTGGCAAAAAATTTGCAAGCCACAGAGTGGAGAAAGAAAATTCCAGGTGTCCATATTCCTTGTCATGTAATTTGCCACTGTAATTAGATCTTCTACGTGATGAGACCTTTAGGGGACTGCCTCAGAGTGCTGAATTGTTCAGTTTGTTAGAGTGGCACCATCAAAATGACCTGATAATGTTAACACAATTGTCCTTGTACCAAGCAGAAGAATCCTTTCATTCCTTTTCTGCCTGTAGTTCCAGGGCTACACAAGTCCAGCAAAAAGCAGAAACAGTGAATGAACAATTATTTGGGATGATGCTAATGGCTGATGTCTCAGAGGAGGCAAGCACCCTTCCTCAGACAACCCAATTTCTTGAACTCTCAGCCTTCTTTGGTTTAACTTTGAATTGTTAACCCTTTACTGCCTGAAACTGTGTCTAATTCCCTGTGCCTTTGGAGTATGAAATTCCCAGTGTATCATCTGCGTTGATTTTGGTTCCTGTTTCATAAGCTCTGCATCACAGACCTTTGTCTTGCAGTTATCCATGGTCTGGATGACCAACTTCAGCCTTAAAACCAGGAGCAGACTTTTGCAATCAACTTTTGCAAATTCAAGGGCAAAAAAAGAGAAAAGAACTATGTAGGAAAGGAAGGATATAGCTTGATATTTTTACTGCAGTCTCCCCAAACCTCTTACCCACCATGCTTCCAACATCATTATTAATCCACACCTCCTCTGGAATTTTATGGGCATGTTGAATTCATTGTCATCTCCAGAGAAGAACACAGCATAGTGTGGGCAATTTAAAACCACATTCAGTTGCTTTATTTTGGCCAAAAGTTTAAACATTTTTGTTCTTTCTTTATTTTTTTTTTTAGTTTGTTAAGCCATTTGCAGAACTACTGCTATAGATTAAACCTGACAGGTCTGAGCACATAATATAATTGTGTGATGCACACATGTGTGTATTCCCCCCTTCCCTACACACACACACACACACACACACACACGCACATACACACATTCCATCAGCATGTCAGATTTATGGAATTTGAAATGTTTCTTTCTTTAGAGAATGGTATAACATTTACATAAAATATCAGCTTACATTTTGTGAAATTTGACAAATTACTCATAAATCTCTCTTTCTCCCTTAATCTGTTCTTGACATGTCCCCAAAAGTTTTGAGATGGCCTTAGTGATACATCTTATACTCATGTCAAGTATTTTGTTGACATCAATAGGAATTTTACTCATCTAAAAAGCCCTGGATTGGGTTACCAGACACATGAAGCAGACAAGAAGCATTCAAAAGTTGCCAGTGAATAAGAAGTGTCAAAAAAGTGTCCACCACAAGAGCAAATATCCCTGGGTATCCATTAAATTCAATAAAAGGAACATATTTGGCAGTGTGCTGTTTGACATGGATTTGCAAAGGAGTTTGCCAAATCATTTTTTTCTTTTTCTCTGTGAAATGTCAGTGAAAGAAAAAATAGGGGGATGGTGGTCCCATTATCAGATAACTTCTATAATATTGTATAAGAAAGATAGGTTATTTGATATTCAAGATACATATAGTGCACAGAGGCACCAATTTGGCAGGGAATTGATGACTCTTTCACCAATCTTCTAAGCACTGGCTTATACAAAGCCAGTCCTACGACTTATGGCCCCATTCTTGAGTAAAACACATTAGTTCAATATCTCTTGATTGGTATCTTAAAAAATTGTTTAAAACAAATGTTCTTCTATTTCTGTTTTAGCATTTACTTTGTTTGCATATGACTGAGTCTGTTTCTTTTTGGTAAATTTAATTTGCTACAGTTTGGCCCCTAACACTGAAAGAAAGGCATCCTCTGAGATAGGGCTGCCAACTATGGCAGGCAGCATTGCAAAGCATATAAATTTGCTCTCTATACTTTTCAAACTTCTCAGATGCAGTCACTGACATTTGGCCTGATCAAGGAAACCCTGGGGATTGGAAAAACACAAAGCATACTACTGTACTGACATGCAAAATGTCTTATAATCTGTCTTTACCTTTCATGACTGCAGTGGTCTGGATAAATTAGACCAAATTGGGCTAAACACTGTCCTTGGCTACACTCACGTAGCTGTTTTCAACGGCTAATAGGAGCTGTGTGTGCACATCCAAGGACAGGATTTGGCCCCCTTTGTCTTTGCACAAGCAGTTGCTTTAGTTGATATGATTATTCCTGAATGACTGTTTTATAAGCAGTGTTTTTGCCTTGTTTAAATCTTTTTTCACTTTATTCTTCATAGTTAAGACATTTATGAATATGGAAACACGTAACCTAAAATCTTCGGTTTCTGGAAAAATAAAAATCTCCCTAATAAAACCTGTGAAAATTGCAAATGAACTGGGAAAGAGGTAAAGCAAGCCATATAAACGTTGGCAAAAACACAAGTAACACTGAGAAAATGTGTTAACACTCGTTAATGGTAACAATCTGATTAAAATTTTTATAGCACATCGATCCTTGGCCTTTCAAAAGGGAATCTGTCATTAAATAATATTTTCAAGGAAAATACATGTCACCAAATACATTTATTTATTCAGATGCAAAAAAGCTGAAATAAACTCTCAATGTAACTCCACCCTCTTCCCTCAGAAAATTATTACATAAATCTCACTGTTTTCCAGAGGATAAACCTTTTGAAATAGAAGAGAACCAGTCTGACAGAAAAGTTTTTATTACTGAAAATTGCAACCTTGGCTCATCTTTGAATTTTCTCCTAGAAAATAATAAATACAATCAGCGCCTTAAGGTTTTGGAAGGGACTTCTTGCATAAATCAATATAGGGTACGAATAAAAAGGAAGACACAATAATTTCTTGACTTTTTGAGGCATTTGCAAGGATTAGCTCATTTCCTTTGTGCTTTGAGTAAATCATATTTATAGTTCCTTATTGCCCATTCGCTGAAGATGATCAATTTAAGAATGTATTTAGTTATACATTGGAACAGGGGCTTTCGAAAGTTCCTAAGTATATGCATTATCCATGCCAATATAGAAATAATTGCAAGTAAAATATTTTCACTTTTTGTGGGGTCTTAATCCTTTATACAATAATTTAAGCAAAATAATCCCACTGAGTTCTTCGGTCGATAATTTGTCTAAGATAGTGGACTTTTTTTTACTACCTGCCAATGTGAACAGGTTCCAGGTATTTGAGATCTGTCATATCTTTGCTTGAAACATTTTGAATACCAACTCCAAAAACTCGACATTAATAAAACATTAAAGTTCCAACTTATGCCCATAAAAGTCAAGAAATACAGAGTTAAGGTCGACCCAGGTCTCTTAACTCTGTTCTCCTGCATGCATGCATGGGTGATGGGGCAGCGGTGTGAACTGTTGCTTAAATCAGTCTTTCTGCATAATCTGAAAATGTAATTGAATTAGTGCATAAAGTATTTACATACCCTGCAGTAGAGAGCCCCACACACTATATTATCCACATTCCCTCTCAGGGCCTTCATTTTAACTCCTCACTGCAGTGTTCCTGCGAGGCTTCCTCAAACATTCAGAAATTGGACTTGCAAATACAATTTCCCTTCTTTTATGAGGCTTCAAGATGAGTGATGCACACTCAGCTTTCCTAGTTGCTTTCAGCTCCTGGCCAGACAGATAGAGTTTGGGTAACATTCTTCCTTTTGGTTAATATCCTCAGGGTTTGCTAGGTATTAGACAATGTCATTCTGTGGCTAAGGATTATTTTATGCTCTAATTCAACCAGATGCAGGACTGCTTGCCATATTAATATGAAAATTAAAAACATCAGATTGAATTTAAAAGCATAGTCATATAGCAGACTTTGGTTTCAGGTAGATCTATGTTCCCACGGAGTCCTTACTCTGCCACATACATTAGTTAAGCTTTCCAAATAGCTGTTTTTTTCCTCTATAAGATGGGGATAATAATCATCCTCAAGATTTTTTCAATTCAGTGAGATTGTGAGAATTTAAAGAAAAATGTATATAAAGTGCTTGGTATATAGTAAGCACTTAATAAATATTTGCTGTTATTATTAGCACTCATTTTGGTAGGAAATAATAACATATTGCTTCAATTCATTTTTTTTTTCTTTCATCTGTCATAGAGAATGGGATAGGGGCCTTCAGTAGAGTTTGAATGTTCAGAAACGTTAAAAATGAAGTTGAACGATAACCATAAAAAGAATGCTCATCCTCATCCATAGTTCAATAAATGTGCAGAAATATCATTTTTCATCATTCAGATTGGCAAAGATGAAAAAGAATGGTAATATCCAGTGCTGAGTATGAAGAAATAGGCTTTCTCATACACTGCTATAGCACTAGTGAACTAGTATGCCATTTTAAAAGGCAGTTTGGCAATGAGTATAAAAATTTAAAACATGCATCTTGTTTGACTCGGCAATTCTACTCTTATAAATTTATCTTAAGAAAATAATCAAGTAAATGTTCAAGAATAGTCATGAAAGTCCTACTAAAAATGGGAAAGAGCTTAAATGTT